GAGACACTTTTGCCCCCTCAATAATTTGCAGAATCGTTGCGTTGCGTTTGTAACGGAGTAATTAGTAGAGTGCATACTGGCATCCCAATTAACAGTTTGGGTTTTATGAGGGTTCTGTAAACCATGGTTTAGACTTGTAGAGTGCTTTAAAACCTCAGTAAAACTTGCAATGTTACTTGGGATATGTCATGTACCTACTTTTTTAACGTTCTTATTCTGAATGCTACATTCATTGGGTACGTATGAGACCATCAGGGCCCCAAATTGAAACGTTTTGGATGTGTAGAGTGGAATTTCCAACTCCCTGTTGTTAACATTTCGTGGGGACATCCCCTCGTATGATGGCTTGTTCTGTATCGGGTTGGAATATTTTTTATCATTAGAAGGAGATTCTTCTTGCTCCCGTAGATTACGGGTAAGTATCTATGCATACGGGTCCACCCTCCGTATCGATCAAGTCATGCGAGATGGACAGTGTCCTGCAACAATGAGTGGTATTCTTTACATTCATACATACATATTGGTGATGAACAGGCCATTTTGGCAATATAAATTTTTGTAATTTATTAATTAACCTTAACCTTTTCACGATAATCTTAGAGATTTTAGACGATTGTAACGTTTTAAAGACAATTTTTATAATTGTTTGTTTGCAGCGGCGTTTCCTTAACCTCAATCTACCTGTGCACCAACTCTCAAAACATAAAAAATTATCAAAATATTGCTTTCAATGGATAGAAATCGAGTAATCTTGAAGATTAACTGTATTTTTAAACCGATTCAAGAATGAATATGGCATTAAATCTGGTTTTGAAAGTTGGTGCACAGGTAAAAAGTGAGGCTACGCGACGCCACTGTTTGTTTGTTAGGCATTATTGGCGCTAGGTCAATTTGTCATAGTTAGGCCAATTTTTTTTGGTGTTTCCTTGAAAATGTTTAGACATATTGTAGCGTTTTTGTAGACGAAGGGGTGATTTTCAAACCTTTTAGGCGTTTCTAGAGCAATGCTAACTTTTCTGAATTAGACACAATGGACACTTCAAAATTTACCAAAATCGTAGAACATAAATTTATAGTAAAATCTCTGAAGTTTTTTTCAAGCAATATTTAGGTGATTTGTCCAGAATACTCAGGTCTTTAATCGAGGGATATGTACAGTTTAAAAAATTGATTTTTTTACATGTAAAAATATAAAAAAAATATATTATTATGATACCATTCGTGACAATAGCATACTATAGTCAATATAGACATATTTTAAAAAATTCGGTACTTACACCTAAAATTGTGATTTTTTTTAAGTATGGCATTCAATTACCTATGACTAGACACGGATAATGTGATTCGAATCAAATCCATAGGCTTAATCGTTATTGAGAAATCGTTAAAAACGTACCGTGTAATTTGCGACTCAGCAGCGCCAACCGTGTAAAAAAACCACATTAAAAATTCATGTAGGAAAACAGACTTGAGTGTATGAACTAAACATATGTTTTTTGCATGAAATCCAATAAAATTACTCAAACAATCATAAGTTTGAAAATTTGAAAAATCTCTTTTTTTTATTATTTTTTACGAATATTTTTAGGCTGTCTAGATGAAAAATATCGAACACGCCATTTTTTTCAAGCCAGTCACTAAAAGTCTCTTTTTTTAAGGCCAAGTCACTAAAGTCACTTTTTCTTGTAATCAGTCACTATTTTCAGCGTGAATTTCTTTCAAGATTGATCAGTCTATGCTTTATGACGTTTAATCGTTTTTCTCTAATTACAGGGAGTCTACTCATTTTTCTTAATAAAATTATGTGAGTTTTCCAGGTTTTTCCAGAACTTCAACGGATAAATTCCAAGTTTATAATAAAAAAGCTGTATTTAAAATGCGTTAAAAAATGTTTTTTTTTTGTAGATCAAAAACAGCAGCAATTAACCCAAAAGTTTTTAAGACATGGCAATCAGTTCTAAAGAAACAGCCTTTGAATTTTAAAGTTTAACACTTGCTTAATTTCTCACTAAAGTTAAAAAAAAAAAAAACTTACTTAATTTGAGTAAGTCTAAGATCTAAAATTATTCAATATCTTGAAGTTTCGTATTCCATATACAAGTTCAAGATATTGAAAATTTTAAAAGTGCCAGAATCAAGGAAAAAATAAGTGATTTATTTCAAGTTCGTAATTAATTTTATGAAAGATTAGAGATCTTCAATGTCAGTATCATTAACTTCACATCAATTGTAGGAAGTTTGGAGATGTTCTGAGGAATGAAATGAAATGCTGAGAATTTCAGTGCAGCTCCATAAAAAAAAACTGCGGAAACATAAGGAAAGTTACCATGCTGAAAATATGGGGAACTTACTGGATGCTTTAAGAACCTAAAAGCGGTTATTTCAGCATCCGAAAATGTTCAGGAACTTTTATGAAGTTCCTAGAATTTCAGAGAACTTCACAGGTGTCAAGCAAACTTGAGAAATATAGAAAACTTGAGGGGTATTGTGCAAATTTTAAAGAAGTTCTAAGTACCTCAGAAAAACTAAATCTAGAGATCTTTGGGGAGTTTCAGATCTTAAGAGCAGCTTTAGTTCAGACTTTTGGAGCAGTTATAGATCTTTAATCGTAAAAGAGATGAACTAGCCTAAGGCTAAAAATCTCTAAAATAAAGTTAAAAAAAAATCTTTAATCGTAAATTTAAAAAAAAATCGAGAACCCTTAAGATGTTCCGATTTAAGGATGTACAGTAGAGTGATGCAAAATTTGAAATTTTCGCTCCACAATACTTAAACAATTCCAAATCGGATACTGACTAACCTCTCAAAATTTGAACCCATTTGGTGAGAATTTTTTTTTTTATATCTTTATTAAGGAGACTTTCAGCCGTTGGCTGGCTCGTCTCCGAATACCCCAGAGGGGGGTATTCCTAGGGGAGAAGGGGGTTTACAGAGTTTTTAGAATGTACAGAGTTTTGGTTTTTGAAACTTATGTTTCCTGTCTCAGCTAGCTGTCAAATTTTCATTTCAAAGGCTGTCTAAAGGACCCCGGTAGAGCCCCACCGGCAGAGGCTGCCAGGTGAACCTGGCAGCTGCTACCGGCAGGGGTTGCCGGGCCTGCTATCAAAATAGTATTTTTCGTGTTATAGTGACTAAATTCAGGACCCCGGTAGAGCCCCACCGGCAGAAACTGCCAGGTGACCCTGGCAGCCGCTGCCGGCAGGGTTGCCGGGCCTGCTATCAATATCGTATTTTAAATATTTTTGTAGATTCCTGCTTCCTTCGTAAAGGAGTCCGAAAATACATGACCTTGATTATGCGTGGAGTGCGTTCTTTTGTACGTACGAGCTAGAAGAGCGTTATCAGTGATTGCGGCGGTTCAAGGAAAATTAAATAAAGCATTTCTGAAAACATGACGCTGCAAAGTCTCTAGGCCAATCGGGTGAGATCTTTCCATTTTATCTATTTATATTTTGTTTTTTGTCACTGATTTATCAAATGCTCTATATTGACGAATAGAGTTGCCAAATCATTCACCCTCCCACTAACACAACTCTTTCCTTCCTGTGACACCTATGAAGGTAGTATGGGTTCCCTGCACCTTCTTAAGTAGATGTTGGATTAACTTTCCCTCCCTTCCCCTGCGACTGTAAGGATGTGGCCAGGTGTATAATGCGATGCTTGTATTGTAGATTTTATTTTCATGTGGGGAAAATCACTAATCCCAAGTGATATTTTCTGCGTCAACACTCGATATTTTCTGCAAAACGGATTAGTTGACCATTATATAGCCACCCACGATTTGTACAATCGCATATGCTATGCTATGCTATGCTATGCTATTCCTGCTTCCTTCGTAAAGCAGATGAGTTGGATTTCCGCTACCAGGTCGTTTTGGAGGACGTCCCGAATGTTGTCGGCCAGACCGTACAACTCCCGTGATCCGTGGAAACACGGGCAGTTGATAAGGATGTGCTCAACCGTCATCGTTGTTCGGCACGCGTCGCATCTCCTCCGGAAGCCTCCACCGCTGCTGCTTCCCATGTTGTGAGTAATCCGGGTGTGACCGGTTCGAAGTCTGGAGAGTATTCTCTGTTCCGCGTAACTTTTGGTGTCCGTCCATGGGGCCGTTTCCCCTTTGACCTTTCTAATGAAAAGCTCTTGGTTGCTGTTCCATTCGTTGCCCCATGCTGACCTGATGGTAGATTTTATCCAGACTTACAGGTCTTGTCTGGGGACCGACTTGTGGGCAAGACGGCCGCTTCGTCCGGTGGCCGCTGGTGAGAAACTAAGATGGCACAAACCATTTGAAGTTTGTATGGGAATTACCATGGTAAAACCAAGATTTTTGTTCATGTCTATCTAATAATTCACCATATGGGTCTGCTTCAAAAGCTTTCAACTGTACTTGTAGGAAATTAAATTAAATGCAAGGATCGAAAGTTATCAATGGTTCAATGCGCTGATGTCTTATGATCATGCTCAATCAACTGCTCAGCAGGCAACATTGGTGTTTCTAGGGCGTTGAATAGGACACAAAAATCATGTCTACTATGTCTCACTGCAAAATACAGTGTTGCCTACAGAGCAGCTGCTTGATCATGTCATAAATTTACCAATCTCTTAAATAATTAATAACTTTTTCCTGTCTCGTTTTACAAAGAAACAATCTTTAGCTGAGAAAATTTTCTATAAGAATGGCTATCGAACTGTTTCGCAGCTCAATATGGAAAAAGACTAGAAGGCAATGAACAAAAAGTTGAGATTTCCCATAGTAATTTACATGTAAACTTCAAATGGCTTGTGCGAAGTCTGTTCCTAACCAAATGACTTTTAACTGTGGGAGGCTAATCAGGACCCGATTTGAAACCATTTAAGCACTGTGGAGTGAAAAAGTCAAAATTTGCATCAGTCTAATGTACAGATACCTTCATAGAAAATATAAAAAATTGAGAAAATTTTTAGAGAAATTATGAAAATTTCAGAAATATTTCAGGATCTTCACATAAGTCCAAAGAATTTTAGGGAAATTCAAAGGTGTTTCCGCCAAAGTTAGGTGTGCGAGGTGGGATGAAGTGGAACTCGATGTCGTTGTTCGGTGCTTCTCTAACAACTGCGTCTTGAAATTGTTGTTCATTAAGTTTTCGGAACAGCTCTTTTAGCTCACGATTCGCTCCCACGAAGGTTGTTGCGTTATCGCACATCACGAGTTGAGGCTTGCCACGACGAGCGACAAATCGTCTGAATGCAGCGGTTAATGCTTGAGTAGTCAAATCTGCTACGAGCTCCAGGTGGATTGCTTTTACAGCGAGGCACACGAATAGCGCTACATAGCATTTCACGGGACTGGTTAAGAACGGACCACAGTAGTCCATTCCAACCTTCAAAAATGGTGCCGACGGAGTAACACGCTCAACCGGAAGATCCGCCATAAGCTGCTCGACGACCTTTGGTTTTCTTCTGAAGCATACACCGCACTCGTGAATAACCATCCTAGCCAAACTGTGAGCGTTGGTTGGCCAGAACTTCGCACGAATACTTGAGATGAGCAACTGTTGTCCCGCATGGTAGTACGTGTTGTGGTAGTGTCTTGCGATAGCAATAGCTAATGGATGGCGATGGTCTAGGATTACAGGATGTTTGCGATTCTCTGACACAGGTGCATTGGAAAGACGACCACCAACGCGAAGTACACCCGCTGTTAGCTGTGGATTGAGCGATTTTATTCTGGAAGATGGTTTGACCTCTCCGTGGTTCTCGAGATCATGGACTTCTTCCGGGAAACAGTCTTGTTGGGCTAGGCGAACTAAAACTAGCAGTGCTTGTTCTAGTTCTTCGTGCGATAGTGGTCCACTACGCCTCGCTAGCCGATCCGGAGACAGAGCGTTGAACTTGAAGCGAAGGAACCATGCCACGATACGTTGAAGCTCCAGGTATGATGATCGTAGCACGAATACCTTATTTGGTGGAGTTCCCTGCGTAGGGAACGCAGGCGTCGACCGTTCTTCGAACTGTGCAGGATCAACTTCTTCGCCAGGCCTTTTGCTTGCTTGTGGCCAGAACCGTTGGTCCTGTGAAAGCCACTGTGGACCCTCGAACTACCGTTTCTCGTATTGGAGTTGAGGTGGTGACATCCCACGGGAGATCAAATCTGCTGGATTGTCGATCCCCGCAACATGATTCCAAATTCCACCTTGGGTGAGATGCTGGATCTTAGATACACGGTTTGCCAACGAGAGGGTGCTGATTCTAGTCAATGCTTGACAATGGTAGAATCCGTCCAGAAGTATGCATTGGAAATAGCTTTCACTTGGACAAACTTCTCGTAGATGTGACTTAGCAAGAGAGCACCTGACAGCTCGGGTATGGTCATTTTCTTCTTCTTCTGCTCAGTATTCTCCAGTGGAGCTACTCGTGACTTTGAGGTGATCAATCGAATTGTGATGGTTCCATCTGAGGCAACGCAACGGAGATGGGGTACGGAAATGCAGTCATTGCTGAATCCAATCCAGCGAGGAATGATTGGGTTTCAATCGCTACCAGATTTTGCTTGTATTCCTTCCAGATTTCTTGAATCGAACCATCCAAAGGGTCATCCCCGCCGCACTTGAGTTTCCAGAGATTCTGGATGAACCCAAGTCCGGTCCGGTCTGACCAACCCAAGCGGATCGAATAGGCATGCCGCATCGGAGTGAATGCTTCGTTTTGTTATTGTTGAGGAATCCGACTTCCATTCGGGAAAAACAATTAAGTGGAATTCATCGGATTTTATGTTCCACCGTAGCCCAAGCGTCTTCAGTATTTGATGCATCAAACTCTAGGTCGGAACGCTCATCTCGAAGTTGCTTTGGAATCCTCTGGAGTAGCTCTGGTGAGTTCGAGCTCCATTTCCGTAGAATTAACCCTGCTGAATTCGTGACTTCCGTGACCTGCTTCACTAATTCCATTGCTTTGGAGTTTTCTGATCGGAGTAGTTCATTAAACTTAGCATAATTGTTTGTTATAGGCATTGATTAACATTTTTGCTAAAACTCGGCCATTTTAGATCTTGTAAAAATTTCAAAATGGCGTCTATGATTTTTTTCCAGTTAATTGAGGCACGGATATGTCACTTCTGATCGAAATTACATCTGAGACAAAGTTGTAGGGACAAATAATGTTTTTTTTTTCTGGAAAAATGTAGTATAAAATGTTTTTAGGAATTTAAAGTAAAAATTTACCTAAATATCTCATATTGTCCATGACCAATTTTAGAAAAACAAATAATAGAGATGCTCATGAAAAATTGAAACTTTTGGAATGCATAAAATTATGGACACTTAAAATTGACTAAAATCGTAAAGCTAGAACTTTTGATCAAATTTGTGAGCTATTTGTTAGAACGTTTTTTACATAATTTATACTCAGAAAACAAATGTTTTCCAAAAATTCACAAAATGTTGAATAAAAATTCAAAAAATCTGGTTCTTTGATTTTTGTCAAGTGAACATTGACATACCAAAAGTTTGCATATTTCATAAATTTTTTCTCAAGAATCATTTTGTGATATTTGAGATATTTTATTCTTTTACGTTTACATAAAATAAATTAAAAAAAAACCCTTGTTTCTAGTTTATTAAAAAAAATCTCTTCAACTTTGTCTCAGACGTCATTTCGATCGGAAGTGCCGTTTCCATGCCACAATATTTTGAAAAAACTAGAAGGGACAGCCCTATGTGGGTTGCACGCAATGGTGACGTAGGACTACGTGGTCTTATATAATAAATGTTAATTGTTAACTGCAGCAGAAGCTTGTGTTTTGTGTAGGAAGCACTGCTGCTGATGCCAACGACCGGACACCAACACACACGGTGATTGGAACTGAATCCGATCAGCGGCTGAGGCCAGCCTTGATAGCTAGCTGCTTGCGGGAAGCCTTTCGTTGTGTACCGGAGAACACCACCACTCACCACGTGGTTATTGAATAAACACCGTTTGGTGAGACCGGATGGAATTCAACTTTGAAATCTTGTTAGGGAAATTGCTTTTCGCAGGTTCGGTGATAATTTTAATTATCATAGCAAAAGTTGCACATTCGTGCAATTTTCAATAGTGACATTTTGAAAAACGATTTAGTTTTACATTTAACAGATGCGTAGGAATATTTCTGGTCGATTGGTGATAAAATTATTGAAATTGGCCCAAGGGCAGCTGTTTTATTAGCGTTCAAAATCTTTCATAATTTTGTTACATGTTCCATTATCGGTTTTCACAAAGTCTACCCCCATATATAAATCACAGACGTAGTCCTGCGTCAAAATTTCAAGATCATGAATCATTGCCCATAACAAACAATAATGTAATGTTTTATTCTAATTAGAGCAGCTCGATTATAAAAATTTAGTTTTTTTTTTTGACAAATTGCCTGGAACCGATCAATATTTGATGGAAAAGTTTTGAACTAAATTCTGATTTTTGGGAAGTTTTGGCAACACATTATCAGCAGTTTGTGGAATATAGTAAACTTCTAGTTCGTCTTTAACAATGTCCTAAATTTCCCATCTCACTTTTCATGTGGCCGATGCCGTTTGGCCGAATGGATCATTTGGTCGAACGCCATTCGATGATTAATTTCTATATAAAAAAGTATAATTCGAACGAACTATAACTACTCGATCAACACAAGGCACAATGTCCTTAAACTATTAAATTCTGGTTTATCATTATTTGTTTGACTTCTGTGCTTCGTGGTTTCGGCATCCTTCGTCGTTCTGCCATCTTGTGGGTGCCAAGAAGTGAGGATTTAATTCCCACCACAGCCAGTGGAGCTTTTCGTGAAATTGAGATTTCCCTACTGTTGGTTTTGATTACATGTCTTCAGGAATTGAACAAACAGTGATGCAAAAATGGCAATACATTTAGCTTGGCTTACTTGTGAAGATTAGTCTTGTTTTCAGATAGCTATCCATAGAGGATTTTCAAACATTTTCTGAAAGGCCTTCCTATTTTATGATAGCAACAATTTATGGGCTTAAAAATGTCAAAACATTGCCTTCTCCAGTTAATGAAAGCATCTAGCTGAATTAGACCATATTTCTTTCAATTGTCCATTTGATTAAATGACGGTTTACTATTAACGTCGATTGTGGGTACAATGGTAGTCAATTTTCAAATCAGCCATTTAATTGCATTTATTTTTAAACGCATGCATGCGCGTTGCTTTTTTGTAGAAATCGGCAATTTATAATTTTTGTTTGAAGAGTTTCTTAAAATTTAAGATTTTATAAGATCTCATCAATAACGAAAGATGCTTGTTACGTTTTCTTTCAAAGCTAAGTGGACAAGTAAAAGCCAATAATAAAGAATCTTATCTATTTTACCCAAAGGATTTCATCTATCTTAAGTTAAACGTGAATACGGTGAAAATCAGAATTGCGTACAGTCACCCTAATCGTCAGTTCTGATTGAGCCTTCTTATGCTTTCACGATAAAAAAAATTATCTAGAATTTCAAGTGGCAACCCTTTCGCATCAACAACAACAATTCAAGAAAGCAACAAACGAACCTTTTCCAACTCCAAATCGAAAACAATCGATCAAAGGAAATTGACTGACCTCTGTCCGGCGTTTCTGTTTTTCCCTGAACCAAAAAAGGTAGTTTGTGTTTGTTGTCCCTGTGAATGCCACTCCAGATCGGTCCCGGTTTCTACTAATGGGTAATTTTTATTCATTAATGGAGGCACCGGGCAGTGCAGGTAGAAACTTTAACAGCAATTTCCCATCCGCTTGTTAACCTACCCCTTTTATTCCCGTTCGGGCTGGTAAGTGAATAAGGATTACTGGCTTGTTATTCCTGGCCATCCAGTTCCAGTTTTCGAGCCGATTGAGGTCAAAGGTTGCACGAAATCTACGACGCACAAAATCTGACCGATCGAATAACTCCGATCAATGACAAATTACCACTGCAATCTATCAACCCAATTTCCGATATTGACAGAACGAAGCGAATTTTCCAGGACACTCCGTTGTTTAATAAATGTTTGCCAATTTATCACCGATTCGATTGACCCCGATATTTGCTCATTCCGATGCAACAGCCTGTAGATGCTGCAGCCAGGATCGATGAGGAGATGGGGGAATGTTTAGTTCAAATTTAGCACAGCAGCAATGATTCGGTGAATTTAGCTCAACAAATACGGTTTGTGCAAATATTTGAATATAATTGATCAAATGGGCGTGATGCATTGTTTTGCTACGGCAGGGGAGAGCAGATTTGCAAAATACGCAACGGACCATGCTTGCGGTGAGAATATTTCCATTATATATCTGGTTATTAATTCGAGGATATTCATCAAATTGCATGGGAAAATGGTTTTATGGATTCTGAACGTAATCGCTATTTGAATCATCAAGCTCGCTAACTATCTTGACAGTTAGCGAGCTTACGTCAAGCACACTAAGCATATTACGTAACTGCTGTCCTCCTTCGAGTTTGTTCTTTCAAGAAGTTGAAAACATGCGACAATATTTTTGTTTGCGTGAAATTTAAAACTCCAATCCCCGGGATTAGACGGTATTATCTATTCATCGGGATGTCATATTTATAAGAATTATGGCTTTTTCTGTTACCTCTGCTGCTGCTGCTGCTGCTGCTTTTGTCACTTCTAGCGAGTGTCTTTGCCCAAAGAACCGTATCCTTTGGCACCCCTTTCATAAGAAACGAATGAAGCAGTTGTTCCTGCTTTACCTAACGGGTTGCTCCGTTCTGATTCAATATTGAAAATAGGAGATTATAGTCGGGCTTTTTAGATCTAAAGAAGAAACGACCTAGCTAACACAGTACTTGAATGGAAACGGTACAAAACTACCTCCCAGGATCGAAGGTGCAAATGAATTCAAATCGCATCTAATCAGGATAAATTGGTTTTCAATTGAAGACGGTGGCTGATTTATGGAACCACCACAACGCCGGAAAGAGAAGGTGAAGGTTTCGGTTGATTGCAATTAATGACGACATGGGTCGACACGGTAATGCGCTTAATTGTCGAGGATGTTTATCGGATTTGACAATGCGAGAAAGATGCAAATCGTTGCTTGCGAGATGTGATGGGGTTGTCGGAAGGAGATTTATAATTGATTCTCGAACTAATGGTTTGAAGTTTGAAGCTTTGCTCTTAATGAACATGCAAAGCAGCGGTGCGATCTTTAGTTGCTTTCTTCTTCCGCTAGCAATTTTCGTCTGATCCCGAATCGCTGTGGACACTTCATTCCTGATAATCAACATCTGACATGCAACAATGAAACTTGAAAACCCCCGTTTACTGCGCTGTCGTAACGTTGTCAGTGATTTGTGCTCTAGGCAACTTGAAGTGATAAGGCATATCAGTCATCATGGCGGTCATTTGGGCTCAATCTCAATAAATCACACTTAAGAATGTAGGAAACCTATTCATAAATGCCAATGGCGACTGTTGAAAACTGTCAACCGACTTAATACTTTTCTCTTATGAATTTATTGTAAACAATGCCTAGACAGCTAATGAAAAATTATCCTCCTTACTCTTCGCTCGCGTTTTTTTCCTATACTTAATACAATGCTTGCCATAGATTCTTAAGCTCCCGTTCCCCGCTTAGAGCATGATGTGACCTTCACAATGGTGTCCGCGAGTTTATTGAATTTAAATTCCTTTTAGTTCGTAACAGTGGCATGTGCACAGAGCAGCTCAGCGCGAAAAAATTTCCTTCGCTATGAACTG